AAATTCCCCCCCCCCCGGGTAAACATCAAACCTCCAGCATCGGCGGTGGCCGCAAGATTGATCGTGCAAGGACAGAACCGACAACGACCTGTGAAGAATCATTACTCGTGACAGAAGCGCAAGACTTTCGCAAATTGCGTCCGCAGATTTCAATGCTGGGTCATCAACAAGTTGTCAGCGTGCGAAAAATTCAAGGAGACATTTTTCGATATGGGGTTTCGGACCCGAAGGCCCGCTCGCGTACCTTTTTAAATACAGCCCGACAACAAAGCTTTCTCCGGCCTCACCTGCAACTCGGGTCAAAACAGCGACATTGCATGTGGGTGACCGGATCCAACATTATCTGTTCTGGAGCGAGTCCTCGTTCCACACATTGTGGTGATCTGGGCTGTCGGGTGACGCCGCGTCGAAGGCTGAGTTTGCCGACGTTTCGCGACCATACTGTCGTGGTCTCCCTCAGGGCTGGTAGCCTTCCTCAGGATGGTGCGACACGTCGGCAAACTTAGCTTCGACGCGGCGTCACCCGGACAGCCCAGATCACCCAATGCGACTCTGATCGCGGTAAGGCCTACGACTTCACTCGTTCCCACATTGCTTCGAGCGAGATGGGCGTGTACGAGTCTGGCGACAGCCTCATGAATCGCATGGACCCCCTGGCATGTCAACAAGGGGACTTGTTCAAGCTGGTGGAGGCTCTGTGCCTGGCATGGGGCGTGTGCAGTTGGAGTGATATGGGACGCCCCCTGAATGTCTAGATAACGATCTGGCATGTGACACGTACGTAACGTGTGAACATCACCCTGCACCTCACTCATGCCCATTGTGCACCCCGACGGACTTGTGGAATTCTAAGAGGACAACACGACTTGCCCACAGTTTGCGTCCAATCTAATTCGACCATAAATTGCTAGAGGAGAGTCTTAGAACACTTTTTTTGGGAATTTAAACGCTTCCACTGGCCACCAAATTCCCCAAAATGCCCACGTAACATTATTGAGCAAATCTGGGCTGCCTTGCAAACGTGCTGTTTCCAGGAAGAAGATCTCCACCCCTTTCGTTCTCTTATGATTTAAGAACAGCCTTGAAGGATTCTTAATGTCAATTAACAGTTGGCATATTGACCGCAAAATTGCTTCAAGTTTCTAACAGCGTAGTTTCTCTGATCTTTTGAAAGGCATTAAGAGAAAATGTCATACATTTCAAACTTCCGCTCAAGATGGGTCTAACTTTCCCTCAAAAAACCGGCGCGAATTCCTTCCCAGTTTAACCAAATACTCATTTTCTTTCGTACAAAATTCTTTGACGTCGTTTGTCGTTGCTTCTTGTTAGTTCGGAGTGTCACCAGAGGTCCGCAGGCAACTCATGGGCGGTCGCGCCAATTATGTGCCATTTGGGTCAGAATTCTCGGAATCCCCCCAGCTCTTTGCCACTGAGACTTCGGCGTTGGTCATGGAGCCGCGAGCAGATTTCCGTGGCACAAAATGCTAAGTGAAATGTGTTGGGCGCTTTCAAAGTTTGCGATTCGTCGGTGACATACTTACCCCCCGTACAGCAATTCACAACCACCTATTTCTTGGGCAGTCTATAGCGGGTGCATTAAAAACATGGGATATTCGTGACGAAACGTTTAATTTCGTCTAGACAGGTAAACAATGACAAGAATACGCTGTTCAATACTATTAGATTCTTTCCTGGGCAAAAGGTAACAATCTTTGAGGTCATTATGTATCGTTATCTCTTTTAACAACCAGAAGATTTCTGGTCTGCATGAAATTTTCGATTAAGAACAGGCGATGTTTCGGGGCAGTTTCCTTCTAAATGGCTGCTTCCCAATCCCAAATTTAATGCAAGTAATATTTCGCAGGTTGTCTAGCCTCAACTATTACCTTCAGCACAACTTTCGGGGAACATTTAGTCGAGACCAATTAGCCACGTCGGTGTTGGCGACAAAAAATATCTTTACGTGGCGCAGGCGGGGGTATTGCCCTAACAAACGGAATAATTAGGGGCAGGTGACAGCCCAGTTCCTTGGTCATCAAGACTTCCAAGGTAATATAAACCTCAGCTTTTTGGGATCCAATGAAAGATATTTTTTTGTTATTCTTAAGGAGGTTTTCGACTGGGTAATCCCCTTTGGGAGGGCGAAGGCTAATAAAAAAATAAAAAAAATAAATGAGAGGCCCCCTTGTGGTTTTGGGGGGGGGGTGGGGGGGGGGGGGGGGGGGGGGGGGTGGGGCGGGGGGGGTTGGCGGGGCCTTCTGGACATGTAACTTCACTATCTGTGCACGTCTGCTAGAGTTCAGTGGAAAATATAGTTATTCAAATTATCGTTCTCCTTGATGCGCGGCAGGAAGTATACTTCCTTCAACGAAGGACATGATGAGGGTTGAAGAGGAAATATCTTTATCTTGATTTGCCTTGAAAATATATTATCTTACTTCGGAGCGACATATTTTCTTATCCCATACTTGCCAAAAATCGCTTTGTCTGTATTCAGAAATCAACTTGAATATGGCGAGGGGGTAGGGACCTATCAACCGTTTTACTAAGTTCCTCAGGCTTTTTTAGGGCTTTCGCACTTTTTAACTTTTTGTTCTCTACTCCATCACAACTAATCATAGTTATGTTCTTGAAAATGGAAGCGATAGTCCACTTCTTATACACTACCAATAAGATTTAGGTGTGTCCCGAGTTTGAATCCCAGTAGAACTCATAGCTTAAATAACTGAAGTTCGTTAGTACGTTTGCGAGTGCAATAAAATATTTGCGACATTTTCTGCCTTGTGGTAAGCGATATTTCTACAATGTAATTAACTTGTATTGCTGAACTACTATTGAGTAAGCTAGTAATTTGTTTAATTGCCGAAGTAACATTAATTTCCCACTTTCAAATCGAAACGCAAATGTCATCGTGATTTCTGGAGCTGGAGACATATCGTAAAGTACTCTATTTCAACGTGATCTCGCCAATACTTATAACTTTGCAATGGCGTTAAAGGTCATTGCTACTCCCGTGCTTCTAAAATGAACCTTTTTAATTAATTCGGCGGAACGGTCCCCTTCCGAACGGGGAGGCTCGTGGCCTCGTATTTGCGTGCTGGGGAAAATCCGCTTTAAGAGAGGATGCAACGGAAATGCATTGTTAGGGTCCAATAAAAGTGTTTAGTTTCAAAACGTCCGTTCGTACTGTCCGTCCCGTCTGTCCGTCGCGCTGTCCGTTCCGTCTGTCCGTCGTCTGTTCCCGTCCGTTCTGTCCGTCCGTCTGTCGCGTCCGTCCTGTCGTCCGTCTGTCCGTCCGTCCTGTCCGTCGTCCTGTCCGTTCCGTTCCTGTCCGTCGTCTGTCCGTCCGTCTGTCCGTCCGTGCTGTCGTCCGTCTGTCCCGTCCGTCTGTCCGTCCGTTCTGTCGCGTCGTCTGTCGCGTCCCGTCTGTCCGTCCGTCCTTGTCCGTCCGTCCGTCTGTCCGTCCGCGTCTGTCCGTCGCGTCTGTCCGTCGTCTGTCCGCTCGTCTGGTCCGTCCGTCTGTCGTGCCGTCCTGGTCCGTCCGTCCCTGTCCGTTTCTGTCCGTCCGTCTGGTCCCCGTCCGGTCTGTCCGTCCGTCTGTCCGTCCCGTTCTGTCCGTCAGTCTGTCCGTCCGTCTTGTTCCGTCCGTCTGTAACGTCCGTCTGTCGTCCGTCTGGTCCGTCTCCGTCTGTCCGTCCGTCTGTCCGTCCGGTCTGTCGTCCGTCTGTCCGTCTGTCTGTCCCGTCGTCCTGTCGTCCGTCTGTCCGTCCGTCTTGTCCCGTTCCGTCTGTCCGTCCGTCTGTCCGTCCGTCTGTCCCGTCCGTCTGTCGCGTCCGTCGTCCGTCCGTCTGTGCCGTCGCGTCATGTCCGTCCGTCCGTCGTCCGTCCGTCCCCTGTCCGTCCGTCTGTCCGTCCGTCTGTCCGGTCCGTCTGTCCGTTCGTCTGGGGTCCGTCCGTCTGTTCCGGGGGTCCGTCTGTCACTGTCCGGTCCGTCTGTCCGTCCGTCCGTCTGTCCGTCGTCTGTCCGTCCGTCTGTCCGTCCGTCTGTCCGTCCGTCTGTACGTCCGTTGTCCGTCCCGTCTGTCGTCCGTCTGTCCGGTCCGTCTGTCCGTCCGTCTGTCCGTCCGTCTGTCCGTCCGTCTGTGCGTCATGTCCGTCCGTCTGTCCGTTCCGTTCCGTCCGTGTCCGTCGTCGCGTCCGCCTACGCGCAATTTTTTTTTTATGCTGAATAAGACAATTATAAAGAATTTTTGTTTATAAGCAAATACTAATCTCCACACCATCTGTAAGATATTGCTCCCCGAATGTACGAGGTAATTAATTGTATATTAACGACACCGTCATTTTCCCACTCTTTCTTGTCACTTCTTTAAGCGAAGTTAGTCATTCAAATTAGCTGTGGTGGTTTATTGTGTGTGCGCGCGCCTCTTGTCTACAAAGGGTTAGATGTGACCAGTGGTATTTGTAAATAATAACCACATTATGAAGCAACGGAAACTTTTTGTTTTCATTAAATGTTTGGGTGTGCTCCGCCTTGCAGCTTAATTTTGTAGCTAACACACAAAAAGTTTGCAAATTACATCCTTGAACTTTTCGGCTATACTGGCGGAACCAGGGAAAGCTACGAGGGCCTTGCCCCCCCCCCCGGTCTAGTTGTTGTTTATCTTTCTTTCTTTGTCAAACTTGGTTTATTTATTTATTAATGTTCGAATGGTGTAATTATTTAAACAATAATATTGTATTGACTCATATCTACAGTGCATAAATAATGTACAATATAATAACAAATATGATTATTATTTAACCCAAATCTACAATGCCCCCCTTCTCCCCCAAAATGATTGACTGGATCTGCCCTAGTATGTATGCCTATAACTTACTTTAATATTAATTACAATAAATAACTTCAAATGTTGATGGAATAGCAATTTAGCATTACACATTGTACTAATTAGTTTTGTTACCATATACTATTTTGCTCGCTATTGTTGTTTCTCCAGTGTTCAGAACTTATGTACACTGTCCTGCAGGCTGCAGGATCAAATACACCCAGCCCCACTACCAACGTAGCTCCTCCTCAAGCTGGCAGCAGCCCAGTTCAAGAGAATGTCCAAAAAGCAGATCCTGGTAGTAAGGAACAGGTTGCCTTTCATACTGAAAACGAAGTGAAAGACAAACCAACTACCCCTTCCAAGGAGGAACTGGAAACAAATGAAAAGAATCTGACTAATACAGATCCTAATGATCGCAAACTAGGCCAATTAGTATTCAAACTGAGGTAGGTACTGAAATATTTATAAAAATCTTCAACAGAAATGAATGAAATGTGTAAGTGAACTAGAAGCTTTATTGTATGTTTTTTTATAGGCATGACTATCAACGAGATGCATTGATAGTCAGTGTAGTGAAGTGCAATGATCTTCCAGCAAGTGATCCATACGTGAGAATTCAGATTCTCCCAGACAAAAAGAAAAAGAAGAACACTCGAGTGTTACGAAATACTCGCAATCCTGTTTATGATGAAGACATCACATTTTATCAAATGAATTATGAATGGCTTAAGGTATATAAATATTTAAATATTGCAAGTATTGTATAAGTATTGCAAAGATTAATTCAATTAAAGATAGTAAAACTCCTTCTCCTTTCATCATTCAGGCACTCTCCTCAAGATATTAAATACCTTGAAGAATTTTCATAACAATGTATTAGAATTCACATATACACAAATAAGTCACAAGATTACTAATATTTTAAATAATCTGTTTCAAATTTTTAACGTCCTTTTTTAATACTACCATACTACAATTTTGAAATTAATTTTATTATATATGTAAAAGTTATTGATTTTGTTTTGTGTGTAGAAAAATTATGGAATTGAATTGAGTGTAAAGAGAAATTGCTGTGTATTATTCCTGTAATTGATTTTCAGGAATCTACCATTCACTTCCTGGTGATGAGTTTTGATAGGTACTCAAGAGATGATGTGATTGGAGAAGTATTTTGTCCACTTGATAGTGTGGACTTGACTCAAATCAAAAATCAATCTTTGACATTCTGCCGAGAAATCCAACCTCGTAGTCTGAAGGTGACATTATAATGACATTTCCACTGTGGGCATAATGCACTAGCTTTCCCAATACTTTTCATGCTTAAAATATTTACTTTAGGCTACAGAATGAATTACATACAGTATCCCTGAAGAATATTTATTATATTTTTAGCACATTTCTTTGTTAATTAGCACTGCAATGGAAAATTCTTGTGTTGACTTCTATCTCTAGCTTTAAGTAACATCTTCTGTTAAGAAATGGACATAAAAGCTTACCATTAGTTGACTTGGCCTTGAGATCATATGTTCACAAAATGCTTAGTGCCAGCTTGCTATATTATCATTGCACAAAGTTGTTTTGTTATAAAAAATGCTAAAAATTTTTGAAAATACTATTTTGTCCTCTACAAATTCTGAAACATCAGTTTGCGTTGTGAGTTCCCTGCCATTTCGTGTCCTAGACAAAGCTTCTGTGGTGTCGACAGATACGATCAACAGGACGTGGTGAGCTGCTAGTCTCTCTTTGCTGGCTACCATGTGCAAACCGACTCACTGTGGTTGTGCTTAAGGCTCGCAACTTACCTAACATGGATGTAACTGGACTGGCTGGTATGTAGGAAAAAGAAATTGAGTTTTATTTGAGATAAATAAATTTTGGCACAGTAAACTTTACCTTCGTAGTTCATTTAATGTAAAATGTTGCTTAACAACAAATAGGTTTATTTTTGTACCTACTTCATGTGTTCATAATAATATTGAAGTTAAATTCCCAAATTTCTCCAAACTTTCAGATCCCTATGTCAAAATATATCTGTTGTACAACGATCACAGAATAGCAAAGAAGAAGACACATGTTAAGACTGGAACGCTTAATCCTGTTTTTAATGAGTCTTTCACTTTTACCATTCCACCGGGTGCCGATGGTCTTGACAATGTGAGCTTAGAATTTTTGTTAATGGACTGGGATCGAATCACGAAGAATGAAGTAAGTATTGTTTATTATGAATTTTTAAAGACACAATGGGCATAGAAATATTTTCCAAATATTTATTAGTTCTATGTGTATTGTAAAATGGAGGTATGATACAGGTAAAATTTTGTTTAAAAGAAAAGTTGATAATTCATAAGTGTTAATTTTGCACAGGTAATTGGTAGACTCACCTTGGGATCATCCAAATGCAGTGGCTCTGCCTTGCATCATTGGAATATTGTAAACAATTCACCACGTCGTCAAATTGCAGATTGGCATAAATTAGAAGGCTAATGCACATCAATGAAAAGCTAAGAAAAAGAAAGATTTATGTGGACAAGTTAGAAAGCACAAAGAAGACTGACCTTGTTCTGATTACCACATAACTCAATCCTAAGCCAACATTTCCAAAGCACACTTCTGAATATAATAATTAGTAAACTATCAGAATGCTTTTGTTTTGCTGCAGTGTTTATTATTAAGTTGTAAAATAATATGTTCTTAATAGATTAAATGACAACTGTCATTACCTCTGACAAGTTTTTTTTGCCATGAAACTCAGCTCTGAAGATGGCTTCAAGTGACTCATGCTATTGTTGTACTGCTTAAACAGGCATATCAAATTACTACCTGATACATTCTTGTAAAGTTGTAAAATTGAAAATAACTAATAAAGTAGAAAATGGCCTTTCTGTACATTATTGAGACAAAAAGAAATTACTTTACAACATTATCGAGACAAAGTGAGTCATCCCAATATTGAAATGTGACAAATTCGTAAAGACGGTTCCACATGAGAAGATCATGCTCAATGGTATTACTTGGGAATAACATTGTCAATGTACCTTCAATAAAAAAAAAAGCTGACAAGTAACTTTGCATGACATTTTTGCAGCCACAGGACACTTTCAGATATGGACATTAATTTGCATTCCTGAAAGATGTTAAAGTACAATGAGGTACACAACTGAGAAAACAAATAAAATTATAGTATATCACTACATACATTATAAAATACAATATTTGCTCAGCCCTATTTGACAAATGAAAAACTTGAAAAGAATGGGCTGAAAACTGTAAATACTTGCTTGTATGTATATTGTACGTAATGCACATAAATGTTTGTAGGTAAATTTCTTTTTAGTACAACTGGTTTTGCCCTATTATGTATATTTTAGATGAAATGTAAACTAAGTCAGTTGTTTTCCAAATGTATACTACCTGTTTCTTCAATTTTTTTGGAAATCAATTTCTTTATATCATGTATTTTACCAACATTACATTAAAAAATGAAAATACTTTGTACATTTTTATACTCCCATTGAATATTAGAAAATATAATAATTTGTTATCTGCAGAATTATTTAGGGGTCCATGAAGAAAAGAATAGTAAAATCAATTAATAATCCAAAGTTGCACAGCATGCAATGTGTAAGAGAAGAAACCATTAAAGTTAGAACATTCTCTAGCATCAAATGAGCCCATGTGATTTTTAATCTTCCAAACACTGAAAGAGAAAGGCAAAAATATGTATTTTGTATGCACTTTAATAGAAACTGAAAAATTATAAGGAACGAAAGAAATGCACTGAATGTAAAATAATTGTACATTAATATGGGATTATTTTAATTTCCATTATTTATCATCACAATCCAAAATCTTTAGTTTATTGTCAATTATGAGCTCCTACTTAAACAATCTTTGACACTTTAAATTTTATAAGATTTCCTTCATTTTCTTGAACTCTACGGTATTTGTATTGTTTAACTAGAGCATTTGTGCTCATATAATAAAGTTCATTTTCAAATTAATTGGACTTTGTCAGCAAAATTATGCTCTTGACTTTCATTTAGAGTTCCAACTAGTATGATATTAACTGTATAATATTATGCTTTGTCATATAATAATCAAATAGCTGTAATAGGACCTCATTATTCTAATGTTGACAAAGGCCAAACATTACATTTCTAAATGGAAAAAACCTGGTGCTTCAATTCTTTAGCTGATTGAATTTTCAACTTCTGATAATGTAGACTTTGCCAGAAAACTAGATAAATTAGTAGAAAATATATAATAAATGACTAACATTCTCAACTATTAATGCATTACGTAAAACAATTCACAAGAATATTCAATCAAAATCATTTCTGAATTTTTACTGTTTCTAACATTGTATATAAATATACAAACATTTTATTCCTTATTTATTAACATCTAAGTGAATAATCATACTGGTAACGTTAGGCGTATCGATGAAATACAAAAATAAAATTTGTGGAATGAAATTAAAGTAATTTGCAATAGTTATTTCATTGGAGAAAAAATCACAATTTTAGACCCATTTCTTTATATGCTTAAATCTGCTCTGCAGATTTGTAGCAATGATTTCTCAAAAATATCATTTTTGTATTTTTTATTTGTGGACAACTTCTTTTTGACAAGCACCATTTTGGAAAATAAAGCAACAAAATGATAAAACATCCTCAATTTTTCATGATTTTTTCACCCAAACTTGCTGTGATATAAAAAAAAATTAAATGTTTTGTTAATAGTGTGTCTAGAGAAGCAGGAAAATCTTAAAGTAAAAAAATAATTAAAAAATTGTAACAATGGAACAAGTACACCACAAACCTAAATATGCTTTATTGTGGAGAAATAACTTATTTTAGAATTAAGACAACGACTCAATTTAGTTTACATTTCTTAATTTATTAGAAGCTGCTGGTGGGTGCTTAAATAACTGGCAAGAACTGAATTGTATATTTCTCTGAAATGACGTCCATTCCAAAAAATGACTGATACACTACAGAAATAGAGCTGAAGGCAGAGTGATAGTATTTGTGTCAAAATGACAATGCACTCATTAGAAATAAATTTAGATATAAGCCCAACCACACATAAGCAATAGGGCTCCAAAAATTGAAGTGTATTTGACAGGACTAGGGCTTGTTAGATTTCGCACCAAGGATTTGGCCCACAAAATGTGCATGTATAATTTGTACGTAATGGCATTAACACATAGTTTTTCTGAAATTTTATATAAATAGTCTCAATCATTACACTGATAATATTTAAATAGGATTTCGCTCTTATTTACAATCATTGTTGTCCATTTTCATGTTTTCATGTATATTTTTAATATTTTGTAGTTATTGCAAACTTTCTTTAGTTGTGGTTCATGCAATTAATTATTTCTTGAAAACTTTCAGAAAATTTATTTTCAATTAAATATCATCACTAATGGTACATGTTCATATTGAGAAAGTTTCAGCATGCTCAGTGTATCAACATTACAAAATGTTAAATGTACATACTTTTTGTTTCCATTATCTTGGATAGTTAATATTTTCATTAAAAAATATTCATATTCATCATCTTTGCATGAAATGAATATGAATAGTTTTTTCAATATTGTAAATGTTTTATAGGAAGAGACTGGACTTGTGGTTCCTATACTCTGCTATGAATGGTATTGATTACTTCTTCAAACAGATCATAGATCACATGGGCCCTCAGTAGTTCAATAGTACAGAGATATGTTTAGGAACATATTGTTCTCTCTAAAATGTTTCATTATAGATTATGGTGACATGTTATGAATACATATATTTATGTACATGTAAGTAAGCTGTTTCCCTGGAGATATGAACTGTGCTAAGTGTCCCTAATCTTTGTGAAATATGCAAAAATGAATTTTGTTTTATACACATGCTATTAAAATTTTCTGCAAAAAGATAAGTAGAAAAGGTGTAAAAGAATTGAAGGAAGAATGACGTGTAACTTTTTTCGCATATTTACTAATACTGCTTTAATAATTCTCTTATTTTCATATAGTTATGTTGATCTGAGCGCTTCCTGGTAATATTAATGTTGAAATTATGTATGTTAATACATTTTGCCTCAATAAATTACAAAATAAGTGTCTGCCTTTTAAAAGATATATTAAGTAGTACATTTAAACAACGCAAACAAGTTAATTTTTTGTGAATTCATCTCTTGTATTTCTCCATCATTAATTAATACTTTTTATAAATAATGGGGGGTAACAAAGGGTCAGAAACTATACACCATTTCAAATTTTCTTTCTTTTCATTTTATTATTTGACCCACATAAAATGTATGATGTACAAGAACATTGAATGTAACTGAGAATAATATTGTATGGTTTTCGTCAAATAAATATTCTGGTTCAAAGGACCAAGTTGTACTTGCTTAACGTTTATGTATTTAAAAATATAATAAGTATCATACTATACATAAAATAAACTCAGTTTCCTTACTTCAGTAACATGTATCATTTTTGTACAGGTGAGGTGGTATTGCAGGAAAACACAAAAAAATCAATATATATTTTTTTCTTTCTTTTGAACCAATAAGCAAAGGCATGTGTACATAAGAAAGTTCATCTGTGTATTCTACATGTATGTACTGTAAATAAGAAGACAAGAAATCTGTTCCCTTTTGTATCATTGCTTTCACAATGCTCAGCAAAATTGAAAAGTAAATCATTTTGTGTTCAGCCTGACTACTAATATTTTAATGGTAAGTTAATCACTGCTTTTGGGACTTTAGGAGGTATAAGAAGTAAATTAAAATACACTGGTGAAATTTTATAAGTACATCTATGCATTAAGAATAATGCACTCGTGTAGTTTTCAAAACCAAATAATTTTCAGAGAAATGAGGTACTGATGATTCATTCAGCCTTCATGTTATAGTTGTGATATTTTGTGTACATGGAATATAAAATATATGTAAACGTGTAAAATGAAGAAATAAATGATATTGAGGAAACTTATTTATGATAGTTTACCCTCACTTCATCGGTACATTTCTTTTGTAAAGCAAAAAAGGATTATAACTCAGAAATAATTTGTTTACAGCATATTATTTTACATTACTTTCATTTTATTTTACTTATTCTACTTCTTGCAACTTTAGATTTCCATCATTGTTGCACCTGTGAAATCAAATGCGATGTAACAAAACTTCATAATAGTATATGCTAACAAGTGCAAGTTCTGAAGAAAGAGAATTACAAAGTTCTGTTGCGTCCATTTGCGTTTTACTTACTAATACTGTGAAAACCAGAAAACATTCATAGTGAATAAATATTATGTAGTAAGACATTTGTTACATTAAAAAACTTTTTAAGAAATATTTCAGAACATACATATTGTTTGAGTAGTTCTTATTTACATTTTGCTCAAATCGAGAATGATTTAACAGATGCAGCAAGGATGTGAAAATACAGTGTTTAATCATAGAGCAATCTATAACATCTGTACTTCAGATCTGAATATACAAATAACAACATTTCAGAACATTTAGGGCCTTTTATATTTACAATAATGTCTTTGTCGTCTTATGACTGGAAGGAAAGAAGTATTAGTTTACACAGAGATAGTTCAGAAGAACACATTTTGCATACATTTTTTTCTATTGAAACAACAATAAACTGACTTGGTTCTATTTAAATAATATTGTAATAGAAATATTAATGCAAAAACAATTGTACTAAATTCACTGCAAAGCACAAACAATCCATATACACTGAAACAATAACTAAGGAAATAGTAGGATAACTCGAAGTCAGAGAGAAATTGGTCTCTTTAGCATTTTAACTGACCAGAAGTGATTAGGGGAGGACAATATAGTTTATTGGAATGTAATAAAATTAATTGAAATCTTCATCAAATTTTTATAGCTAAAATATTTACCTATACAATTTCACTAATACTTCAGCAACAACATTTATTTTGGTTATTTTCAGTGAGATAAATCATGTTCACTATTACCAATCACAAGATGACTTGTGTATGAACTGTATGTTCTTTTAAAACAAGAATCCTTTTGAGAAATCTTTTTTTATGTATGGTTTAAGAAATTCCCAAGTCTTCAAGATTTAAAAATCAAACAAACAAAGATAACGAAGAAATATTAAGTAAAAAATCTTGAAAATCAATAATGCAAAACTATTAAGAAACAAAACTTATACATTCATTATTTGAAAGATAATGAACCAACTTGTGACATAATAGGGTCCAAAGGAATTCAGTATCATTAATTATTCAGTATATAACAGGTTTGGGAAACAAAGTGAGAAAGAATCAATCATATTTCTCATTTTTAATTTCCCTTCAACCCCTAACTCCTTTTCTGGTCTTAAAAAATGAAAATTTAATCATTTGATAACTTCTTTAAAAATTAACTTTGATTGGTACAATAAATGAAATAAATATAATTATATTTACTACACATATCCAAATTGTAATATGAAAACGTCAAAGTTTCCATTTGAGAATGTGACTAGCACTAAATCAAATATAACCAATAAATATATTAAAACACTCTTGAATTTGAAAGTACTTTTATAATATAAATACATAGGGTGAATAATGTTGTTACTATCAAGCTTATTTGATATCTCACTAACTCAAATCAGAACTAGAGTAGGTTCAGATTTTCAATCTATAATTTCATTAAAGGCCTAAAGCAATTGTTTTTGTCAAAGATTTTTTCTCTAAACATAAAATATTCACATTTAATTTTGAGTATTTGCTTAGGTGTAAGTATCTTACATTAATATCTCAAATACAATACTACATCCCAAATTAGCACTTTGAACCTAAGCTAGTAAACTGTTTCCAGCAAGTGAATTCATTGGGATAATTGAGAATATTACACTACCCAGGTCATTACTTCACAACGAGTAGGTTATAACATCATTATTGGTAATCAGTGTAATGGTTGATATAATATTTGCTTTTAATAGTGTCTTTCTTTCTAGTCTCCAATATTTGACTGACCCAAATAATTTGTAGTGTTGATAATGAATCACAACTTTCAAGACAGATACAATGGTCATGAAAAATCATTTCTTAAATCCTTTTTGTAAACAAAAATTTAAAATAATTGTTTATAATTAAAGAAAATTAATTTGTGAGTAATTATGTAACATAAAATATGAAATGAGAAATCATGGTGAATTTAATTACTATTCAACAAATCTGAATTATTTTTGGTAGTTCTAGTAGAAATAAAATTTAAATTTAAATAATCACTCTAATTAACACAAATAACTCTTCAGAAATCGTAATACTGAAGCCAGTTGACAATGCCTGCCTAATAAGAGTATTGGAATGAAAATCAAATTTTAACATATTGGATAATAGAGATGTTCTTTGATCAAAATTTTATTGCATTGACAGAAATATGTAAGAAATATTTACAAAGTATTTTTGTGTGGCCTGCCACACGTCACCTTCTTTCACAGCTGTTTGATCAAAACACTATATACACACACAATTACATTTGTCACAAATTTACAAATTTTCAATCTGCTGGACTACTCAGTACAACAGGATTCTCAGAATGTTACATGTTTTTGTGTTTGTACCATAAATTCCAATATACGTGGAAGAATATATATTGTAAAATGATACTATTTTACAATGAAGTGTATGCATTCCATGATGTGCATGAAATATAATTTGGTTTCAGAGTTGACACAGTGTATTCCATTTTTATTTGAACACAATTCCATAAATTCCCAAGATGTCCAACCATGGAAATCTTCCTTTCCATCTCTCTCAGGTGACTGATTCTCAGTACCACATTAAAATTAATCTTATTATGACTGAGGTATGTAATTTCTCCCTTTGCATATTCTTGATTTTATTTATAAGAGTTCTTTTTAATGCACATAAACACACTACGTTTCCCCACACTACTTTCACTTGTACAGTCATACTAAAGTTGAGAGTTCATGGGGTGCTGTGGCAGTGGTCACTGAACTCAAGTCTAATGTCGCAGGGGGCATTCCTGGACTAACACTTCCACTAGCTTCACGAGGATGGCATGCACTTTTATTCAGTTCTGTTGGTGTTGGTGGAGTTGGTTGCCTCATCACTTGCTGCTGTTGTTGAGCAAGTGCTCTAACGGCATTTGTCTTTTCCTGCAATAAGTATTCCACACTTTTATTAGAGAACATTTTATAAGGTAACATGCAAATATTTGTAATATTTAGATAAAATTAATTACATAGAAAAGCTATATTTGTGTCCTCACCCTTTGCCACACAAAGACATTATGCACCATGGCACAGCCGCAGAATATTATCCCCAGTCCAATGAACACACTTGTAACAATGGCTGGAGTAGAATGAAACTGTATGAAGGTGTACAAAATGATCCCTGCAACCAATAAGAGGAGTAATAAGTCCATGAAAGAAACATGCAAGGCGATAAATTACAATATTTTATAGTAATATTCAATGCTCATACCAAACTAATTATATTTGGTCACTTCTGATAAAACTAATTTATTACAACAATGTTTTCAATACAAAGTCCAACCAATGTACATGTTGATTATGCATTACAGAAACATGCAAAACAATTGGGAAAGAATATCTATTAATTAGCATGAAGTCTAATTCAATGAGAGATTCATTATTTAAGAAAATATGAAGACATGACAATTACACACGAATATATATCAGTTATTTGTATTTCAAACAACGATCGAAACTGAATTAAAAATTATTCTTTAAAAAACATGGCATTTCTCAAAATTATTCCCATTTCAAAAATGAAGTTGCTGCAGGGATGTATTTGGGAGGAAAATTCCGATTGGTCAAATTATTTTACACGTCATTTCGGCGATAAGTTAGAACGAACAGCAGCCTAGCTCAAAGTTTATACGACGCATTTGCTACTGAATTGGAAAAATGTGACACGGTCTGCGTTTCTCGGCGCTAATTATTTCGTAACTTTTTCTTCTAATTTACGCACAGTGAGCAATGTTACACCGCGAAAATAAGCACTTACTGAGGGGCGCTCTCGAGAGGTGGTCTCAAGTTAGTGGTCAAGAAAATATTTGCAAGTAAGTAATTGATGTATAAGTTCTTACAAGACATGGATGGTAAAAGAAGAAAAAGCAAAATATGTCATCATTGAAACCTCATCGTAAAAGCAAGTGGCGAACCAAGATGCTGAATTCCTGGGAGAACGGCAAGGACAACAAAGGCGAAACATTCCACAACAAATTACCATTGCATGTATTTGCAAAGTTTTGTGAGGTGAGTTCTTTTTTCTGTCATTTATCAAGGTAGAGACATTGAAAACTTTACATATTGCATATGCCTTTTGAATAACATAAATCGATAAAAATCATTTAATTTTCAAGCCACTTCATAATCTTGTTGACACAATAACGCTTTCATTGGATTACGGTGACAAGCCTTTGTGCAAATAGTAGCTCTCAATGTTGTTTCTTATATCGTACTGATTTTGATTGAATTCTCTGCAACGTGTTACTCCAGGGACCTTAGAATTAATACAGTATATAATTAGTACGAGAAGAAAACACAGCGAAATTCTGAGAGGTGTCTTTTTTGCTATTCCCGCAAAGCAAAATCGTTCTAGAATAAAATATGGTAAATTTCATTTTAAAATTATTTGATATGTCAGTGAGCAAATTTACTAGTATTTCTGATTCAATAGTGTTGAATTTGCTGATAGCGTTATCAGGGTCGAGTATTATTTTGCTGCGTCGAGAAAGGGTTCTCAAAAGGGATTGTGGTTAAAAAAGTAAAATACGCAAAATTGCAACAGTGTACCACTTCAAAGTATCATTGTGATTGCTTGCACAGGAGAATACAAGAGCGCAGTAATTTGCTCAATTATTTGCTTCTGTATAATTAGTGTCTAGTTATTTTGTAATATCCACCTACATTCATAAATTATGTGACAACAATGGAATAAACGATAAAGTGTTAAGAAACTTGATCTGTTATTTGTTTACACACACACACACACAGTGTGATTCAGTCCTCGTTGCTAGTACACCGGGACCTTATCCCATATGTAATGTACAGACTGTGATTGCCAAAAACGGATACTCTTCGTTGTTTAGCCTCGTAAATAATTAAAGTTAAACTCATGCGTTAAGACTGCGCTTGTGCTGAAGCAAAACGAGCTATGGCAAGTGAGCAAGCGGCTTTACCCCGTGTTAGGGCTCGCCACTTCTCTGGAAAACTCCGTTGCTAATAATATCCGAGAATCCCCGGAAGCGAGCACAGGGTCAACGCACAGACCCTCGTACGGCGAGCAATTCCTGCGGAGAGATTGCTTTTCCATTTCCAGCGGGTGCCGCGCATGCACATTAGACACTTATGACGTCGTTTTCAATGCACTAGGCATTGCATGTGCAAAAGAGGCGTTCAGTACCTGAATTATAAACCAGGGACTCTCAACGCTTTTCAAGCTGGGGGCCAATGAAAGGCCGCTTGTATGCTACCGAACTCGAGGATCATGATGACCTTCTTCGGTGCTTTGAAAGCGTGCGGCAGAAGTAAAGGCACAACTCTGCTCGTCACAGAGGCCGTGCGGCGTAGATGCTTACCTTGCGTTCACGCCATTTCGAACGCTCGTAGAGCATCTGTTACACGAGACAAAAATGCGAAATTTTGGCTGCAAACGCAAACATGATAAAATGTCGTGAATAACACTAAAATATAGTTTTCTCTCTTTTCTTTCACATTCGTAAGATAAAAAGCAATAACAGTAATAGGGAACAATATTTAATGTAATAGGCTTCCTTTTTTTGCAAAAAATGACCGCCGAAAAATACTTTTTTTTTTTTTCAAAATTTTGAGTGGGTTTTACACTATTTCCTTTTGAAATAATGAATAACATACTGTACTCATGGGGTCCTGTATGTGCAACGAGGTGTAAGAAATGTTCACCACAGAATTTCTAAGTAATCTGCGAGTATACGCTGTATCTTCTTCGCCCTTCAATTGTAATGTCGGCCGTTGCGAGTACTACGTAATCTAAGGTTCCTGTGACGTTTCTTGGCGCCATTGTCAATTCGGCTAATTTCGAAATAAATAAAGGCACAGATTTTCTTTTAAAGAACAGTTCAAATCCATAGTTTGCAAGCCGAATTGATTGGAACCACAGGAAGAAAGCTTCGATTACATCCGTAACATATTAAACAGCCTGAGTTATTCGTTTGAAGTGGTCTTGATCAAATTTTTCTTTGTTTTTAGGGCAGTTTAAAAGAATTTTAAGATCATTTTATTGACAATTTTTGATGTTTTAGGTAATCAAAATCCGCTCTCTAGTAATGACTAATCTTGTTAATACTTCGGGTAAAACAACAAATTCTACCTGTATGATTTACTTCAGTACTGCACAGGCCGTTTGAGGAGATGGAAAGTAATAAGATTCTCTCCATTACACTGGGGAAAGTAAGAGGATCTTTACACGTGTGTTTACAGCAATCCTCTATTATTTTACACTTAAGGAATAGCTAAATTAATATAAACGTTGATGAATGAAGAAGGCACAAAAACCTGATGATTGAAGCAGGAAGGAATTCTGATAGTCCACAACTCATTAGTTCTGAGGTTTTGTTAATTAGTAGCTTTTTCCCCAAAGAAAAACAAAATTTTTTCTTCGTTATTTTCAATTTAACTGTATTAAAGAAGCTACAGAATATTAATGTTTCTCCAAAATGAGGTTTCACCTTTTTCGCCTATACCTCTTACCAGCCCCTTTTCAATGAATGGGGGTGACAACTACCCAGCGTAGTCTTTGCTTAAGTGAGGTTTGACAGTTTTGTATTTCAAAGCTTATCGGATGTTTCAAAAATACAACCCACGCCATGCGTCATGGCTGTCTGAATACTCGAGCGTTCCCTTTCGGTGAGCTTGATTGACTGAGGTTTCCGGCCTCGTCACCTGCTTAGGCCCGCAAGTGCAGCCCACTTGTCATTGGAGGAGCGGAGGTTTTCCCTCGCTGCATGGCGAGTTCCGGCACAGACCTGCACCTCGGCTTGTGGGCGTTTTCCCCAAGTATTTCCCACCAGCGGAGGACAAGCTCTAAGGTCCCTTGCAGTATGTGCATGGAATCAGTGACTGAACGCGACCTGCTATCTCGCTAAATCGAAAATCCTCACACTGTTTGGACTTGAACCCCATGTATGTCTTCCCAGTCAGAGGTACTGCAGGGTCATCAGTCGATGCCCTGAGCCACCTAAATCGGTCTTATAATCATGTCAACATCTTATTTTAGTATCTGTCGGTGTAGGAAACGCTTGTGCAGTCGGAGCAACGTGTGTGTTGAAGACCGTCGCCATGTCCCTTCGGCAAGTGCAGAAATGGTTTAAATATACATCTTTTTCCGTATCACATCAACTGAAAATATTTTAACACGAACGTGCAGAAAATGATTGTAATATATTGCTAAACGTATGAATCGGTAGTTTCTAAATATATAAAATTTCCCTTCAAGTGCAATTTATTCTGGGCCCCGGCGTTGACCCCCCTACCAATTGGAGTTCTCAGGGGACCGAAATGACATTAGTCTGAGACTGTTAAATATCTCAACTAACAATATCAGTGGATTTTAAATATCATGAATTTTATCGGACACATTTATTAGGGCATCAATGGTCTGCAAATACACGGAGAAGGAATCTATAGAACTAAAATATTTACCTGTGAGGAAAACGGGAATAGAAACGAAGAATCCACCAACAGCGCACACTCGGGTGATGGAAGACTTTTGCAGGTACTTGTTCGTCCTGTGAAAAGACAGCCTGGAGTTAATAATAATAATAATAATAATAATAATAATAATAATAATAATAACAGTAACTTTATTGTACCTTTTTACAGACAAAGCAAGAAACAGAAATATTGTTTTCAGTAATGTTCAACAGAAAATTGAATAAATTAAAGCAGGAGGTTTGTGGAAAAGATTCCCTCAGAATCTCGGCAACTCATCAATGGTATACACTCTTCCAACGTACATCCCGGACTCTATTTCTATTGAGGACTCAATTTTTCGTATTCGATCCACTAAAATAATAGTCGTACAATTTGTTCAAGAAAGAAAAGTGTATGTACAACCATGTAATGCAATGAATTTCCCAGAACAAATGATCACTTAACATTTCAGGATCTGTTCATCGTAGTAGTTATTATTGATAGTCTTCGTCAAAAATTGGAAAAGCAAAGTTGGTTCTTTCAAAATCATCACGTATTCAGGAAGGGGTACTCGTGCGAGAGCCATATAACTTCTCTCTTCAAAAGCGTTCAATGGTGTACCGCACGATTTACTAATTGAGAAACTAAAAATTGGGTATTGGCATTAGGATCGTGGCATAGATTAAAGAATTTCTATAGACCGGAAACAAAGTGCACGAATACGTGAATAGTTATTAGAGTCCGTGAATATCACATCCGGGGTCCCACAGGGAGGTGTTGTTGGCCCCAACTCTTTCTTGCCTTCATTAATGACTTGACGGAGAATATTAGATTTTGCGTCCGATTATTTACAGATGACTGTATACTCTATCGTGTAATTAAATCAAACATGTATGTCGAACATTTGCAAGCAGATTTAAACAAAATAGAATACTTGGGTATCTCCAAAAAAATGAAAATTATTTGTTCTAAAAGCCAAGTCATTAAGCTTTGTAGCACAGTTATCCCGTTTTATCGTATCAATTAAGCTTTTACGTAATACCTCAGGTCACTTGCTGGAAGTATTTGCTCTTAGACACAAAACTTAGCTGGGATAATCATGGAAATTACGTACTGGTAAAAGTGTGGAGAAATTTACACTTTGTTAAGCGCATACATAAAAAAGCAGTCCAAGTGAAAGTGTTAGCTTTCACGTCTCTTTTTCGCCCAATTTTAGAATTCGGAGTAGCTCGCTGAGACCCTTTGCAGAAAGGTTGACATAATTTTGAGGTTATTTTGTCGAAATAGCTCGACGATTGGCGATTTTGGAGGTGCACTTATGTGCGGGATGGTCACCCACTGTTTTCCTGTACCTGCATTCTTTGCCAATTTGTGCGTTAAAGTCACCAGGTAGAATTTTCACATAATTTATTGGAATTTGGGTTATCTCTGATTCACGTTCTTCCCAGACTTTTTCTGTTTTGTCGGGCTCTCTTTTGTATTATTTTGTATCATTATATTATACTACAGCATAACACAAATAACTACAGCAACCGCAGCAACTACCTCTGCAGAAAAAAAAAACAAAGTAGTAGGTGAATATTTCGCGGCAACCTTTACTTCTCATCCTTCAGAAAAACACATTCTTGCTAATTTAATCTTTGAAGTAATCAGACGAACTATAGAACAATAGTCCCGATATGTCCCTCCTCCCCCCCCCCCAAAAAAAAATCCGTGACTGTTAATTTTAACTCATCATGCAAGTTCCAAACAGAAATATTTTCGGATAATAATTAAAACAAATACAATGTATCGCTCCTGGTTAATATAATTTAATGAACCCTCAATGTATCGTACTCAGTGCTGAGGGCCTTCGGGGCAAGCGGAAACATTTACACATTTTAGCATTATGTTTGTTCTGCTCACTTGAAATACGTTTATCGAGTATTGGCTTCATTATTAACCCTCCAAAAAAGTCGAGCTTGTGCTGAGGAGGAGGTTAGCGACCGCTGTTTTCGAATGTCACCGCCGCGCTCTGCGGCGCCGGCGCGGCCGGCAGGTGCTGCGCTCACGCGGCGGGCGGAGGCTGCTGCGGCCGCGGCCGTCATTAGCCGGGAACTGGCGAGGGCCTTCCGCATTCCCGCCGCGCCCCTCCCCCGCCCCCTGGGCCGGGCGCCGGCCGCTGCAACTGCCGCTGCACCGCTGGACCGCAGGGGTTGCGTGCCGGGGCCCGCGCTCCAGCGCCCGCGGCACCTCCCCGCGCCCCGACCCTCCGGAATGCGAGGCAAGGCGCGACGCGGACGGGGCAACTGCTATCCATTTGATTTCCATTTCGAAAAAGAGAGAATAATACAAATAAAACATCTAAGTCTGTTCAGATTGGCAGTCGTGAAAGAATGGAATGTGCAGAAGGATTTCTCACTAATCGACAATAAAAGAGGGAAGTAGAGGTATTTAATTTTGTTAAATATTTTACTTTGCGACTATATACGAGTATAGTTAACGCAATTTATTATTATTAGAATTTGAAATGGAACATGATAGCAATGACAAATTAAATGAAAGTGAAAAAACAACTTGTTTCAAGCAACAATCAGAATGATTAAAATTAATTTAAAAACCATTATGGGTGATAAAGATAACATAAAACATATCTGACAGTTGAATAGTTTATTTGATGATCTAAAAACGGAAATTGCATTCAAAAACTTTGTATTCAAGAAAATTACAGGATGCGAGCCAACATACATTGCTTTTTCTCTTCGTACTGGGCAAAGAACTGTCAATGGATAAAGATTTAACAAAATAGTATACATTTTTTTATTATATGAAATTGAATTTCAAAATGTATTGCATTGTCATTCCAAAGAGAAAAAATCAATGAACAGATTAATGTAGTTTCGATGAATAAGAAATAAGCAAATAGTGCCATGCATGAACGACAAAATGTTATATAGCTGAATTACTTCTTTTACTCCAGATTCATTATACGCAAAGGAAAATGAATTTCACAATCACGCTTGAAACCTCTGAGACTCAATTGGCCACAGATTGAACGCCACCAACAATTTCATTAAATACTTTCCACCTTCGCCTGAATACATAAAACAAAAACAAATGTACAGATTTTTTTTTCTTTCGGATGGAATATATGGAAAATATATCAAGGTGTTATAACTGACGTCTCTCCAGTAAATTAAGGAACTTCAGGCTCGAATACAAATCAATTGACCTAATCTCGGCCCTACTCTGGAAGTCTGACCACGCCGCCCCCACGATAGGATCTCCCTCGCGACCGTCTCAAATGTTCCTCCGGCCCTCAGATGCCACGCACGTAGCCACTTGTGACATGGATGGCCCGGGGAATGTCGATGAGACGGATTAAAGAGGCGTAATTCATTACGCGGGTCTCGCAAGTGCCATCGGAGAACGAAACCGACCAACGCAAAGAAAGCGCTGGTGGTAAAGCAACTCCTCCAACTATTGTGCAAGTTAACTCCGAACAAACATTTTTTCGACTCCACATATGCCAAAGCACGACATCAAATACTTCTCCTTCACTTCATGGCAATACCATCATTGTTAACGTAACAATATCGCCATGTCAACACAAAATCGCCACGTAATTCATGGAAAGTAATTAATGGTCCACTAAATTACCTGTAAATGAATTACTAAAACACTTAACTATTAGTAAACTATACTTTTACCATAACGTATTACTTAAAACCCTGTACTAGTTTAATTCCAATTTTGCTGATATAAAGCAAGATAAAATTAGGTAGAGAAAAGACTACCAGTGTTGTTACTTATTAATCTCATCAAGAGGAGATATCAAGATTTACCTCAGAAGAGGCTGTGTACGAAAGGACAACAGATCACCCAAAGCCCTCACTTTGTGAACCCACAAATAATGCTCGAGCAAAGTGAACGAAAAGCCAAGGAGCTGCCTGCCACTATTCCCTTTGACAAATATCGTTGATCGCTGGGTCTGCCTCCGATGCGCGCCCGTTTGACACGCACCGCGCGTCGAGGCCCCTCGCAGCGCGTGGGCTGGCGCGTGCAGCGTGCACCGCTGTCCGTGACCGGCGTCTGCGATGGCGTGCGGCGCGGCGCAGCGCGGCGCCTCGCGTTTCCGGGTCCACGAACCGGCGGCGGCGGCGGCGGCGGCGGCTGGGGCGGGTGGCGTGCGAAACGCAAGTTTCCGTCGAATGCAGATCTGGAGGCGATCTGCGCGCCGCGGAATGCGAAGGCCGCAGCCCCGCCGCCGCGCGCTGCGCGGGACGCCGGCAACCGGTTTTCGGCAAGCCCCCTCCCCCTCCCCGGCCGCGGAGGCCGGCCAGACGCGCAGCGCCGCGCCGCGCCGGCGACGGCGCTTGCGAATGAGACTGCAGAGGCGGGGAGGGAGGGGCAAATGTCAAAAGGAGGGGCACTATTAGATGTGGTGGCGCTGATAGGACGCAGTTTGTGCCACCTTCAACGTTCTATCGCACTATCGATCTTCTGCTCATGCGCAGCGCCATGTTAGTGCATCTGCGCATGCGCACAAGATCGCTATTGCTGCCGTTTAGGCTGGCATAAACTCCCTAGTGCTGGTGATTTTGAGGGCGATTGACGTCCCGATGGTGGCATGTCAGAGAGATGACTGGCGGAGACGCACGTATTCCGTTGGTGTGGCTAGCGGTGGCGGTGGTCAATAATACAACGCTGCGTTCGATGACGGGGCTGGAGGCGACGGCAGCAGCGGCGGTGGCGGCGATCTGCGCATCGCTCATCCGCACCTGCCTCGGCGCCCCCCCCCCACCCTTAGGCGGCTCGCAACCCCCCCAACAAGGACCTCGATGCAGTTCCTGGATGCCAGTTAATACAGAAATTGAGGGGGACAGGCTGGAGTACCGAATTCTGACGACGGACACTTATGTGATGTTTACATTTCTTTCCATTACAATTAATTATTGTGAAGATAATTTAATGTACAAAATGATGTCTCAACGTCACTTGAATAGATCACCAAACAACATTTACTGTCGACCCGAGTGGCGCCATCGGGAGCTACGGTGTCCACGGTTCCAGATGAGGAGCAGCTGATTAGTCTGATCAGTAACCACAACATTCTCGACGTACCAAACCACCTTAACAATACCGAAGCGTAAATATGGTCGGAAATCATATAAATAAAGCTTAAAATAAGGGTCTGAAGGCAGCAATATTCTTATCTACTTTTCACTGACGGCACACTAGCTACGAACACTGTTGTGCCGAATTGTAGAGCAACTTTCTAGAAGTTCACTTTCAATAAAATTTACTTGAAATAACGTGCATTTTCAGATGGTACATTCTCGTGGCTTTCGATAGAAAGTATAATTTTTCAGTATGAATAATATATTTTTATTGCAATAAAAACTTGGACAAAGGAATATTTGGAACAAAATGTAATCTGTGTAACATTAATGAACAACGTATGACGTGTACGAAATACAGCAAATGTTGCATAAAGTAGGTCATTATCCACCAATCGAACTGGTTTTCTCAAATGTACTTCTTATTAAGTTACTTATCGCGTACTACATCATACCACCAGAGTAAACAGATGAAAACGAGATTACACGATCCAGATCCACGTATTAGTTGAAATAAAAAGTGGACTAGGTATACGTCAAAACTTGTCTTTGCGTCAGTAAGCATGCCTTAGAAATGAATGTTATAAATAATGCTCTATTAACTTATACAATAGGTAAACCAAACATTATTCTAATCAAATGAAATGACCACAGGATATTGTTTATATTAAATTGTCCATGTCGATGAGCGTCTAGGGAAAATGCGAGTAAACAATTAAATATGTGCTTTCATACGAAACCGTTTTCCCCATAAGGATCACAACGAATAACTGGATGCCAACAAAGCTTGGTCGATATCGTCTCGACCCCAAAACATATGCGTAAACGCATCTCTATTGCCTTCTCCACCACTCTTCAGAATCCGCATCGCTAAGATTACCAAGCAATCAATGCTGTGAATTCTGTTACACTCCTCCCCTCCCCACTTCCATGACCCCCAACATAGTAACATTCACCAACACCTTCACTGCTGCCACAACAAATATCATTAACTCCCCAGCAGCATCCTCCCCGTCGCCGTGGCTGCTGCTGCGGAGAGCAGCCGGGGCGGGCCGGCCAGCGCCGAGGGAGGCGGGGCGCGGCAGAGGTAGGAACGCGACCTTGCGGACCGCTTGACAGTTCAAGGCCTCCAACCGCCGGCCGCCATCACCACCGCTGTAGCCCGCGGGCCGCCCCTGGACCAGTCGCTCTCGCCACGAGGGCCGAAGGAGAGAGAAGGTTGCGCCCGCCCGCCCGCCCTCCTGCCTGCTCGTTTCTTTTTCCCTCGTGACAAACATGCTCCACTTAGGACACCGGTCGATAAGTTGGAATAAAACTAACGTGTTGGCATTGGTATCTGGTGCATAAGTGCGTTTGTAGATGGAGGAACGATATCCAGGAGAAAATTGAAATATAGATTCCAAAATGTATGCCGCTTAATGTATCTGGTGTCATGTTTGATACTGCTGAGCGAAGTATTTTTCTCATTTTCGTATTGGTATTTACAACAACTCGTGCTAGAACTGGTATAAATAAAGTTATATACAATGAAATATATGTTTCTCTTAAATAAAAAGAGAATGCTCAGAACTTCCAGGGTTCCGTTTAGAGAAATTTGTACCAAATTCTTCGGAAAATATTTAATTCATAGGCCAGTAGGTGTGTGCCACGATTTCTTCACATTGAGAATTTATTTCTATTGTAAGCAAATGGAATCCTTTGAGTAATTGGGATCGAATACTCTAAGCAAACAAAATTCATGGTAACTTGCGTAACAAGGAATCGGATTGCAGGTTTGAAGGGCTGAGCGTCGAGTTCGCTCGAATCCGAGATTTTCCCCAGCATTTTTCAGTCGTGTGTTCAATGGCTACAGAGCCCTTCTCAGGAGGACCCAAGGGCAGGAAAGTCGACCAGTCCTTATCACTTTCGCCTTAACAGCGGCCGAGGAGTTACGGAAACACGTCTCCACTAACACCATGACCGAACTTTACTTGAGATATGCTCAGACCACCCCTCAGAGGCGCTTTTTTCGCCGGTGTCGCCCTCGCCCTCGCCCTCGCCCTCGCCCTCGCCCTCGCCCACGCCCACGCCCTCGCCCTCGCCCACGCCCACGCCCTCGCCCTCGCCCACGCCCTCGGGCGACAGGTACGCGCGTACGGTCGCCATTCACTCTGAGCAGCCACGCGCGAAGGCAGCCGTTCACTCGGCCCTAATGAGGGCGACGCTGTCGCC